TTTAAGGGATTAGGTTTTGAAAGATGTGCGAAAGCAATAGATAATGAAAGATTGGAAAGTCTGGAGCAATAAGTAAAATCAGTATGGGGAGTGCTTGCAATGCAAGGTAAACCCAAAATCATAGTTGAGGTCCAACTGTAAGGGCTGATGTTTTATTTTATTTTGATTAAAAAAATTTTAGCACTGGGTAGCTATTGAAAGTTTCTGTTTATGTGTTTAGAGAAAGGGCTGGGCATAGAGATAAGTTTCAGCCATTTTTTTTTTTTTGATTAAGCAACTGACAGCAAATAAACCAGAATTAAAGCTCTCTGCCACATATTCCAAAATAATTTAAAACTGAAAACAGCCTAGGGATTAAGCTATAGAAGAATGGTTCCTTAAATTATGGTACATCACGGATAGGTATGTAGCTCAGTGGTGGAGTAATGTTGAGACCCTGAATTCTATCCCTACCATTCCCCACCCCCACGCTCCCAAAATGTACATTACCACATTGGAATATTACTTATGCAGCCATTAAAAGTAATTGCTTTGAAGATCATGAACTGTAAGATTGATGTGAGAGTAGTATGTGTTCCATGTTTGCAACTACATAAGACTAGCAGTTGTATACTTCAGGCTATATAAAGAGAATGGACTTCTGAGCCAGTAGTATTTTATTTGAACCCTGACTCTGCCATTATAAACCAAGTGACCTTTGTTCTTGTTCTTTTTTTTTTTTATTCTAAATTGATTTTATTTGAAAATAGATCTTAGGTAAATGAAATGCATGTCACTCTCAGAAGTTGGTAGTTGCAAAGGCATAATCTTTTCCAGAATCAGAGAATGACAAAAATCAAAATTTTCTGGGAACAAAAAAGTGAATTAAGAGAAAGTTTTGGCTGTGAGATGTATGAAATAGTGACAAACATCACTTCCACGATGGAAGGAACTCAAATCTCTGGGCTACACTCCAGTCACTTCAGACCTCAGTAGACTTTGCTTAAGTCAGATATGAGCTTATATTGGGCAACTAAGAGTTTAGGTTTTGTTACTGCTACTTTACCTGGATTAGCACTGTTTGAGTAATCTGTGTAGATAATCTTGATCTTAAAAACAAAGATTAATCTGTGTAGATAATCTTGATCTTAAAAACAAAAGACTATGGGAAAACCAGCTGCATGATATAGTGGTTACTGAGAACTTATAGTCATGATTGATGGTCTTTATTTTTTTAATTTATCTGAAGAATTTTTTTTAAGATTCCAGTTCTTCAAACAAACAATGGTCCAAGCCTAACAGGATTGACTACCATAGCAACTCATCTAGTCAAAGAAGCCAACAAGGAGTATTTGCTGGGGAGCACTGCAGAAGAAAAAGCAACAGTTCAGCAGTGGCTGGAGTACAGGGTCACTCGAGTAGACAGACAGTCCAGTAAAGAGGATATCCACACACTGTTGAAGGTATTGTGATTTGTTGGAATGAGTGGACTGTAATAAGCTGAAATCTCTCCCTTTGGGTTCCAGACCTGGGAATAGGCTGCCTTTACCTGTTCTCTTTTGCTTCAAGGTATGCAGACCTCCAACTCTTGGCTGCATTTTGCCTGTTGTCTTTTAGCTTAAGGTAGCTTGTACCTGTTGTGACCTCTGCCTGGAGCAGGCTGTTCTGTCTCTAGTTGGGAAGGTGAATGGACTACAGTGTGCTTTTTCACCATAGGAGCACAGGAAAAGGAAAGGGTTGTTGTTGTGTTTTTGTTTTGTTTGCAACTGTGGTATTTCAAGATAGTGTTGTTAATTTTCAAGGCAGTCAATATTTGTTACAGAAATTTAGGAAATATTAAGTAAGCAAATGTAAAACATTTTAAACAACCATTGTCCCATGATCGAGAGTGAACTGTTAATGCTTGCGTTCAGTCGTCATTATTAAATCCTTTTTATGGTCTTCCCGTGCATGCATGCATGCGGGACTTTTTTAAAAAGTGAGCCATTACTGAACACAGCAACCTGTTGTGGCTTATTTTGCTCTGGGAGTATTGGGAACATTGTTTCATGTCCGTGTGTGCTCTTTCCTTTTGATAACCTGTGTGTCCCAGCACAAAATTGTACCACAGTTTAAATTATCTACCCCCAGGTAGTTACCAGCTTGTTGCTAGATAATTGAACATGTTCCTATTTGTTTCATAGGCTAAATTCCTACAAGGGAGGTTGCTAGAAGAAAAGCCTTG